TGCAGCCCCTGAAACAAATTAAGAGAGATCGGATAAAGGAGGAGGGAGGAGGATGGAGCACTGGATTCGCAGGGAGAGGGCTAGGAGCAGAAAACACGTGGCAGAACCAGACGGGCCCATTTGGCGGCTAGGGCCCAACGCGCGAGTCGGGAAGCCAGGCCCAAGCGGCCAGGCCGAGAAGGCGTCCTGCTGAAAACGTGAGTACGGCATGAATCACGAGGAAACCTCGAGCAACAGCGCGTTTCCCAAGTACATCACGACAAAGGCAAGAGCGAGAGCGTGATTCGTGTGTCGAAGGCGCGGCGTCTGAATGAATTGCGAGGAAGTCCCGCGCGAGAGCACGCCTCTGCAGAACTTGCGAGGCAGTCCCGCGAGAGGACGCGATTTTGGAATACATGGCGCGGAAGTATCAGGAGGGAGCCGTTGTTGTTGTAACTCGTGTACCAGGGGCCCAATGTGGTGACACTAAGCTATCCCTGGTTAAAAAATTAACCAGGCGAAGGACCCAACCATATGCAGCTGTGAATACAGTCATTGTACGCACCGTAGTCAAATGAGCTCCCTGTAGGGCCACGACGCGTGCAAAGGTTGTGCCAAAGATTGTGGTGGGCGCATGCGAACGCAGCCACAGGGGACGTCGGTGGAATCCCCTGTGGGGACACGAAACGTGTGATGTGCATGACGAAATAGGTGCGGTGGGCGCATGCGAACGCAGCCACTGGGGCCATCGGTGGAGCTCCCGATGGGGCCACGAAGCGTGTGAATGGTGTGCCAAAATGAATGCGGTGGGCGCATGCGAACGCAGCCACTGGCGCCGTCGCTGGGGCTCCGTATGGAACCACGGAGCTTGTGAAGGGTGTGCCAACAAGGGTGCGGTGGGCGCATGGGAACGCAGCCACTGGGGCCGTCGCTGGAACTGCCATTGGGGACACGGAACGTGTGAGGCGTGTGCCAAAATTGACGCGGTGGGCGCATGCGAACACAGCCAGTGGGGCTGTCGATGGAGCTCCCGATGGGGCCGCGAAGCGTGCGAGGGGCGTGCCGAAACGAGTGCGGTGGGCGCATGCGAACGCAGCCACCGGGGCCGCCGCTGGAACTGCAAATGGGGACACAAAATGTGCGAAAGGTGTGCCAAAATGGGTGCGGTTGGCGCGTGCGAACGCAGCCACTGAAGCCGTCGGTGGAGCTCCCTATGGGCCCACGAAACGTGTGAGGGGTGTGCCGACATCGGTGCGGTGGGCGCATGCGAACGCAGCCACTGGCGCCGTCGGTGGAGATGCCAATGGGGCTACGGAGCGTGTGAGGGGTGTGACAAAATTGGCGCGGTGGGCGCATGCGAACGCAGCCACTCGGGCTGTTGGTAGAGCTCCCGATGGGGCCGCGACACGTGCGAGAGGCGTGCCAAAAATGGGCTCGGTGGGCGCATGCGAACGCAGCCACTGGGGCCTTCGGTGGAGCTCCGTATGGGAACACAAAACGTGTGAGGTGTGTGACGAAATAGGTGCGGTGGGCGCATGCGAACGCAGCCACTGGAGCCTTCGGTGGAACTCCCTATGGGGCCACGACGCGTGTGAGGGGTGTGCCGGCATGGGTGCGGTGGGCGCATGCGAACGCAGACACTGGAGCCTTCGGTGGCGCTTCCTATGGGCCACGAAGCGTCTGCGAGGTGTGCCAAAGTGGGTGCGGTGGGCGCATGCGAACGCAGCCACTCGGGCCTTCGGTGGAGCTGGCAATGGGGGCACGGCGCGAATGAGGGTTGTGCTGACATGGGCGCCGTGGGCGCATGCGAGAGCAGCCACCCGAGCCTTCGGTGGAGCTCCATAAAAGGCCACAAAACGTGTAAGGGGCGCAAGGGATGGGATGAGCGGGGGGAGGGAGGAGGGGGAGGAGGAAGTAAGGAAGGAAGGAAGGAAGGAAGGAGGAAGGAGGAGGAACGCGGGGCGTTGTCTCTTCAAAACGAGGGCCCAACACCACAGGATGGTTGGGAACAAGGTGCGAGCCCCAGGTGGGGCACTTTATGTGAAAAATAATATGATTACCCAGGGAGGGATCAACAATGATAATCTATAGAAACGAAAAATTCGACGACAACAACAACAAGCAGTGTAAGACTGTTCGCGCATATCTGCTCGAGTGTCCGTTGACGCGTAGTTCCCAAACCTTCGATACCCGCCCTCTTCGTCTTCGATCGTACCCCTTTGGGGGGGTATACCTTTCTTCCCTGCAGGCCGGGCCCCAGCAAGCGGCAGGGCGGCCGCGGACCGTCGGCCTGGCCAGCGGCAGCGCTGATCGGCGGCAAACCGGCCCCAAGGGGGACGGACAGGGGACCGACCACGACGACGACGACGACGACGACGACGACGTCGTCGACGACGACGGCGACGACGACGACGACGAGCGAAAGCGAGAGCGAGAGAGAGAACGACAGCAGGGCCACGAAAGGCACGAAGTAGGCCACGAAGGGCGACAGCGGGGACACGAAGGGAATGCGTATGGGGCCACGAAGAGCGCGAACGAGCGGGGGCCACGAAGGGCAGATAATAGAGCCACGGAAGGCAACGACGGGGCCACTGAGGGCAGCAACAGGGCCACGTAGGACAGCGAGGGGGCCACAAAGGGCGACAGCGGGGCCACGAAGGGCATGCACATGGGGCCACGACGGGCGCGAACGAGCAGGTGCCACGAAGGGCATACGTATATTGGGCCGCGGAGGGCAAGGACGGGGCCACTGAGGGCAGCAACGGGGCCACGAGGGGCAGCGAGGGGGCCACGAAGTACGACAGCGGGGCCACGAAATGCATGCATATGGGGCCATGACGGGCGCGGACGAGCGGGGGCCACGAAGGGCATACATACATGGGACCACGAAGGGCAGCGAGGGGGCCACCAAGGGCTGCAACGGGGCCACGAAGGGTAGCGAGGGGGCCACGAGGGGCTGCAGCGGGGCCACGAAGGGCAGCGAGGGGGCCACGAGGGACTGCAACGGGGCCACGAAGGGCAAGGGCAGCGAGGGGGCAAGGAAGGGCTGCACCCGATTCCTAAATAATGTGTGAGGGAATCATAGGCGTGAGCGCGACTCCTGAGCGCCTGAGTGTCGGGAGTGCGGCGCTTGAATCAATTGCAGGAAATTCCAACGCAAGGGCGCTATGCTTAAGTAAATTGCAAGCACGTCTCCAGCGAGAGCGCGACTCCAGAGCGCCGAGAGAGCGATTCATGAATACATTGTAAGGAAGTCCCAAGCGAGAGCGCGATTCCTGAATAACATGCGAGGAAGTCTCAGGCGGGAGCGGGGGTCCTGGCTAAATTGTGAGGAAGTCTCAGGCGGGAGCCGTTGTTGTTGTAACCCAGGGGCCAGGGGCACAGTTTGAGCCTCAAGACTTTCCCTGATAAAAAACAGGGTGCAAACGCCAGGAGGGGCACTTAAATTGAAAAAGCAGTACGCACTGGTGGTGGGGGATCCACAGTAATTATTCTTCAGAAATGAAAATTCAATAATAACAACAACAACAACAACAACAACAACAACAACAACAACAACAACAACAACAACGACAACGACAACGACAACGACAACGACAACGACAACGACAACGACAACAACAACAGCAACAACAACCACAACCACGACCACAACAACAACCACAGCAACAACAACAACAACAATAATCCGAACCGCGGAAGCCCACTTCAGCCACGGACCGAGGGACAGTGAATGACCATTCGGCCCCCTCACTCTGATGCAGGGAAGCATTTGCGAGCCCTACCATGGCGCTGCACATCCGCTTGAATAGTGGCGGTTGGGACTGAGGGCACATTTTCCGCAAAGCTGAGCCCCACGAGAGGGAGGGGTCACAGGGGGGGTGTCGGATACCCCAGTGGCGTGTGGACCCGCAGGGGCAGGCTCCGCGCGTGGTTGCAGAATCTCTTGGCGGGCCTCTCGTCATGGAGCCGGCCAGGCAGACAGGAATGCCTGCAGGGCAGCAGAGCGGTCTGGCGACCGGCCGCGGCGGGCCCGACCACCGACAGCGCGCGGAGGCGCGCCCGGGCCTGGGCGGACCGAGCGAAGCGGTCTGCGAAGCTCTCGAAGAACGACGACGACAGAGACAACAACCACGACGACGACCACGACGACGACGACGACCACGACGACGACGACGACGACGGCGACGACGACGACGACGACGACGGCGACGGCGACAACGACGAAATGGGGCCAGAGCGAGAAGAAAAAAGACGGGACAAGAAGACATGCGAGGCGAGGAGAGAGGGAGGCGGGGTCCAGGTCACCTCCCGACTCGTCTGTCCTCTGCAGGCCAGGGCAGATGGGGTCGGAGGATGGGGGTGCAACGGCCCATCAGGCGTCTGGGGATCGCCATTCCTGCCGCCTCCAGGGGGGGAGGGGTCCTCTGTGGACGCTTCCCAAGTGGGGCCAGAGCAGATGGGCTTGGGAGATCGTGCCGCACCGCCGGTGTACGAGCGATGCCTCAGCGACGACGGTGTGGAGACGAAGGGGCTCCAGATCGCGCCACGTCGCGCGATTCTCCGACCCCATCTACAGTGGAGGCCCGGCCACCAAAGACCTTCTCCAAGAAACCCAACCCTGAGACCCCAGGACGTCGATCGATCTTTGGTGTGGGGACGTCATGCCTTCCACAGCAGAACCGTCGAAACCCGAGAAACCCAGGGCACCCTGGATGCAAGCAGGGTGTTTCTTGCCATGGGCCTCCACTGCACTGGAGCCCATAAGATGAAGTCGGGCCTGTCTCCCTACAGGGGGATTTTTCACGAAAAATGAACAAAAAATACCCCAAAAAAATCAACAAATGATCCAAAAATAGTCTGGGGACTATTTTTTGAATCTTTCTTATACCTGTTTGGGGCATTTTTGGTGTATTTCTTACTTTTTTCGCCGAAAATCCCCCTGTAGGGGGACAGGCCCCACATAACCAGAAGGCATCGGCCCGCTGCAGTCGCGTCGGGCGGAGCAGGCGCGTGCGGTCCTCCGCCGCGGCCGCCCGCGGTCCGGGGCCCGTGCCCAGCGCCCTCTGTGCGAACTGGGTCCACAGGTTCTCCTCGTTCTTCACCCAATCAGCCGCCTGGTGCCAGGGGCAGGTAGGAGGGTTCAGTCTTGTCTGGGTCTTCGGCACCAGGCCGTTGAGCTCCAGCTCAGAGCCGCCGAATGGTTACGACAAGTTCGGCATATTTGATCTTCAAGTGCATCCGTTTTCAATCCGCTGATTTCCAATCCGTTCCAATGCACCCCATTCCTTGTTCACCCACTCAGCCGCCCGCGTGACGCGCGAAGTGCTGAACGCCGTTGTGGGAGAAAGCGAGCAGGGAATACGAAGAGTGCTGCCATGAAGTGTCGATCGCCCCGGATCTTGAAATTGGCGGCCGATGCCCTGGAAGAAATCATGGCAACATGAGATAGACCAGGGAGGTGGATGCTGATGTCTCTGATGTGGTCGCCGAGGCGGCCATGGACGGCCAACTGCGGACGCACCCCAATCAAATATGTGAGATGACAATATCCACAAGGATTAGGTCGGGCATGTCCCCCATGAGCGGATTCTGGACGACACCGAAAAAATAATGAAACAATACTGAACTAATCTTCGAAATTAGCCTGGCGAAGGACCCAACCATATGCAGTTGTGAATATCGCAAGTGTGAATATCTTCTTCGGTGGCGCTCCCTATGGGGCCGCGAACCCTGTGAGGGGTGTGCCGAAATGGATGCGGCGGACGCATGCGGACGGTGGCACTGGGGCCTTCGTTGGAGCTCCCCACGGGGCAGCGAAACGTATGATGGGTGTGCCGAAATGGGAGTAGGGAACGCATGCGGGCGGTGGCACTAGGGCCGTCGGTGGAGCTCCCTATGGGGCCACGAAACGCGTGAGGAGTGTGCCGGAATGGGCGTGGGTGACGCATGCGGGCGGTCGCACTGGGGCCTTCGGTGGAGCTCCCTATGGGGCCACGAAGCGTGTGAGGGGTGTGCCAAATTGAGTTCTCGGGACGCGTGCGGGCGGTGGCACTGGGGCCTTCGGTGGAGCTCCCTATGGGGCCACGAAACGTGTGGAGAAGGGTGTGCCAAATTGAGCTCTCGGGACGCATGCGGGCACTGTGGCCTTCGGCGGAGCGCCCTATGAGGACACGAAACGTGTGAAGGGTGTGCCAAATTGAGTTTTCGAGGCCCATGCGGGCGGTGGCACTAGGGCCGTCGGTGGAGCTCCCTATGGGGCCACGAAACGTGTGAAGAAGGGTGTGCCAAATTGAGTTCTCGGGACGCGTGCGGGCGGTGGCATTGAGACCTTCGGTGGAGCTCCCTATGGGGCCACGAAACATATGAAGAAGGGTGTGCCAAATTGAGTTCTCGGGACGCATGGGGGAACTGTGGCCTTCGGCGGAGCGCCCTATGAGGCCGCGAAACGTGTGAGGGGTGTGCCAAATTCAGTTTTCGAGACGCATGCGGGCAGTGGCACTGGGGCCTTCAGTGGAGCTCCCTATGGGGCCACGAAAGGTGTGAGGGGTGTGCCAAATTGAGTTCTCGGGACGCGTGCGGGCGGTGGCACTGAGGCCTTCAGTGGAGCTCCTTATGGGGCCACGAAACGTATGAGGGGTGTGCCAAATTGCGCTTCCGGCACGCATGCGGGCGGTGGCACTGGGGCCTTCGGTGGAGCTCCCCATGGGGCCACGAAACGTGTGAGGGGGTTACCAAATTGAATTCTCGGGACGCATGCGGGCGGTGACACTGGGGCCTTCGGTGGAGCTCCCTATGGGGCCACGAAAGGTGCGAGGGGTGTGCCAAATTGAGTTCTCGGGACGCATGCGGGCGGTGGCACTGCAGCCTTCGGTGGAGCTCTCTAGGGGGCCACGAAACGCTGTACTGGTAGGGGAAAATGTCAAATTGCGTGTGCGGGACGCATGCGGGCGGTCCCACTGGGGGCTTCGGTGGAGCTCCCTATGGGGCCGCGGAACGCTAGACTGGGTGTGCGAAAATGCCAAATTGGTTGTGCGGGAGGCATGCGGACGATCCCATTGGCCACGAAACGCTGTACTGGGTGTGGCGAACGCATGTGGCCACCCCTACTGGGGCCTCCGACGGAGCTCCTTCCGGGGCCACGAAACGCTGGACTGGGTGTGGCGGACGTATGTGGCCACCACCACTGGGGCCTTACGTGGAGCTCCCCAAGGAGCCACGAAACGCTGTACTGGGTGTGGCGGACGCATGTGCCCACCCCCACTGGGGCCTTACGTGGAACCCCCTATTGGGCCACGAAACACTGTACTGGGTGTGGCGGACGCATGTGCCCACCCCACTGGGGCCTTACGTGGAACTCCCTATTGGGCCACGAAACACTGTACTGGGTGTGGCGGACGCATGTGGCCACCCCCACTAGGGCCTTCGGTGGAGCTCCCCATGGGGCCACGAAGCGCTGGACTGGGTGTGGCGGACGCATGTGGCCACCACCGCTGGTGCCTTCGGTGGAGCTCCCTATGGGGCCACGAAGCGCTGGACTGGGTGTGGCGGACGCATGTGGCCAACCCCCCAGTGGCCTTCGGTGGAGCTCCCCATGGGGCCACGAAACGTTGTAATGGGTGTGGCGGAAACAAGTGGCCACCCCCACTGGGGCTTTACGTGGAGCTCCCTCTGGGCCACGAAACGCTGTCCTGGGTGTGGCGGACGCATGTGGCCACCCCCACTGGGGCCTTCGGTGGAGCTCCCCATGGGGCCACGAAACTCTGTAGTTGTTGCGGCGGACGCACGTGGCCACCCCCACTGGGGCTTTACGTGGAGCTCCCTCTGGGGCCACGAAACGCTGTCCTGGGTGTAGAGGACGCATGTGGCCACCCCCCCTGGGGTCTTACGTGGAGCTCCCTCTGGGGCCACGAAACGCTGTCCTGGGTGTGGCGGACGCATGTGGTACCCCCACTGGGGCCCTCGGTGGAGCTCTCCATGGGGCCACGAAACGCTGTAGTTGTTGCGGCGGACGCACGTGGCCACCCCCACTGGGGCTTTACGTGGAGCTCCCTCTGGGGCCACGAAACGCTGTCCTGGGTGTAGAGGACGCATGTGGCCACCCCCCCTGGGGTCTTACGTGGAGCTCCCTATGGGGCCACGAAACGCTGTCCTGGGTGTGGCGGACGCATGTGGTACCCCCACTGGGGGAGGGGGCACGGCAGGAGGAGACGTCTGGACCGTTTCTTCAAAACGAGGCCCCAACACCACAGGATGGTTGGGAAAAAATGTCAAAGCATGCTAACGAAATTAGCCTGGCGAAGGACCCAACCATATGCAATTGTGAATACCTCAGGTGTGGGTGTCGTCGTCAGTGAAGCCCTATTGTAACCACGAAGCGCTGTATTGGGTGGGGGACGCATGCGGACTGAGCCACTGGAACCTTCGGTGGCGCTCCCGATGGGGCAACGAAACGCTGTACTGGGTGAGGGAGACGCATGCGGGCTGCGCCACTGGGAAATTCGTCCGACGCCCCCCCCCTATGGGGCCACGAAGCGCTGTCCTCGGTGGGTGAGACGCATGCGTGCCGCGAAATGGAGACCTTCGGTGGAGCTCCCTGTGGGGCCACGAAACGATGTACTGGGTGGGGGAGACGCATGCGGGCACCGCCACTGGGGCTTTCGGTAGAGCTCCCTATGGGGCCACGAAGCGCTGTACTGGGTGTGGTGGACGCACGCGGGCTACGCCACTGGGGCCTTCGGTGGAGCTCCCCATGGGGCCAAGAAGCGCTGTACTGAGTGTGGCGGACGCATGCGGGCACCGCAACTGGGGCCTTCGGTGGAGCTCCCCATGGGGCCAAGAAGCGCTGTACTGGGAATGGCGGACGCACGCGGGCACCGCCACTGGGGCCTTCGGTGGAGCGCCCTATGGGGCCACGAAGCGCTGTACTGGGACTGGGTGTGGCGGACGCACGCGGGCACCGCCACTGGGGCCTTCGGTGGAGCTCCCTATGGGGCTAGAAAGCGCTGTACTGGGTGAGGCTGACGCATGCGGGCACCCCCGCTGGGGCCTTCGGTGGAGCTCCCCATGGGGCCACGAAGCGCTGTACCGGGTGTGGCGGACGCATGCGGGCACCCCCGTTGAAGTTTTCGTGGTGGCTCCCTATTGGGGCCACGAAGCGCTGTACTGGGTGGCGGACGAATGCGGGCACTGCCACTGGGGCCTTCGGTGGACCCTCCCCCTCTTGGGCCACGAAGCGCTGTACTGGGTGTGGCGGACGCATGCGGGCATCCTCACTGTGGCTGTCAGTAGAGCTCCCTATGGGGCCACGAAGCGCTGTACTGGGTGTGGCGGGCGCATGCGGGCTACGCCACGAGGGCCTTCGGTGGAGCTCCCTATGGGGCCAAAGAGCGCTGTACTGGGTGTGGCGGGCGCATGCGGGCACCCCCGCTGGGGCCTTCGGTGGAGCTCCCTATGGGGCCACGAAGCGCTGTACTGGGTGTGGTGGACGCATGCGGGCACCCCCCCTTGGGGCCTTCGGTGGACCCTCCCCCTCTTGGGCTACGAAGCGCTGTACTGGGTGTGGCGGACGCATGCGGGAATCCTCACTGTGGCTGTCAGTGGAGCTCCCTATGGGGCCACGAAGCGCTGTACTGGATGTGGCGGACGCATGCGGGCACCGCCACTGGGGCCTTCGGTGGAGCTCCCTATGGGGCTAGAAAGCGCTGTACTGGGTGTGGCGGGCGCATGCGGCGACCCCCTACTGGGGCCTTCGGTGGAGCTCCCTGTGGGGCCACAAAACGATGTACTGGGTGTGGCGGACGCATGCGGGCACCGCCACTGGGGCCTTCAGTGGAGCTTCCTATGAGGCCACGAAGCGCTGTACTGGGTGTGGCGGACGCATGCGGGGACCCCCTACTGGGGCCTTCGGTGGAGCTCCCTCAGAGGCCACGAAAACGCTGTACTGGGTGTGGCGGACGCATGCGGGCACCCCCACTGTGGATTCCGGTGGAGCTCCCCATGGGGCCACGAAGCGCTGTACTGTACTGGGTGTGGCGGAGGCATGCGGGCACCCCCACTGGGGCATTCGGAGGAGCTCCCCATGGGGCCACGAAGCGCTGTACTGGGTGTGGCTGGCGCATGCGGGCACCCCCACTTGGGCCTTCGGTGGAGCTCCCTATGGGGCCACGAAGCGCTGTACTGGGTGTGGCGGACGCATGCGGGCACCCCCACTGGGGCCTTCGGTGGAGCTCCCCATGGGGCCACGAAACGATGTACTGGGTGTGGCGGACGCATGCGGGCACCCCCACTGGGGCCTTCGGTGGAGCTCCCTATGGGGCCACGAAGCGCTGTACTAGGTGTGGCGGAGGCATGCGGGCACCCCCACTGGGGCCTTCGGTGGAGCTCCCAATGGCGCCACGAAACGGGTGAGGGGTGTGCAGAAACGGGTGATGACGGTGATGCTGATGATTAAAGGAGTAGGGAGGGGGCAGCGGGAGGAGGAGCAGGAGGAGGAGTGAACGCGGGGACGGTCTTTTCAAAACAAGGACCCAACACCACAGGATGATTGGGAAACATAATTGTAAAAACCATCGTTCGCATACTCATGTTTTACTATGTTTTAATATTCATCATGTAGAGGGACAGGCCCGACTTAAGCCTAACGTGTCCCACGAAGCCCGTTCTTTTCAGCACGTCGTGCTGGGCGCAATGTCAGCCCAAACCCTCACTCCGTCTGCCCTGCCGCTTAAAGACCACCATCGGGATGTGCAGCAGGAGGCCGCCTCTGACGCGACGGCCTGCAGACGACAGCGTCAAGAGCAAGGCGCATGACTCTGCATTCGGCGGCGAGCCCAGGGGGGGAAGCGAGAAGGGGCGGGTCTTCTCAGAAGGCTCGGAAGTCCCCTGGCCTTCTGGGAAATTCCCTGCGCCTTCCCCGACGACGCAGAGAACTGCTCAGAAGGCCAGAGGGCTTCGGAGAAGCCCCGCCGCCTTCTGAGAAGGCCTTCTCCTTCTCATTTCCCATGGGCGCACCGCCGAATTCGGTTTTGAGCCATAACTCAAATCTCTGGCGGCATTTCGGGAGGATCGGGGCACCCCTTGGAACGCCCTCGGCGAGGCGCAGCTGCTGGCAAGCATCCCGAAGTTGGAAGGCCGCCGAGAACCGACGAGGACGCCCGAAAACCCCGAACCCGAAGCGTCCCCCTTTCTGACTTCCCCCCGAGCGCGCCGCCGAAAGGCGTACGGCTCTACGTCAGGTTCGTGTCGTGCCGACTTCGGCGTTAATTTCTGACACCGCGGGGATTGTTCAACCTTGAACGATCGGCCGTTTCCGAAACGTCCAAATCGTTCCACATCGAACGATTCTGGGTCGCCCGCGGCGTTCAAGGTGAAACGCCGCTGGCGGGGTCGCCGCGGGTCGACACAACACGAACCTGCCGTAAGCTGCTCCGCATTTTCTTCAAAACGCACCCCTCACGAGGGCCCCCTCACACAAGGACAACTTCTCCGCGCACCCCTCGTCGAACGCCGCAAGAGAACGAATGCCGACGCACCCCTATCGACACACGTCAGCGCACCCCTCGACAGATTCCGGCGCACGACAAGCTGCTCGGCAAATCTCAACGCACCCCCCGCAGGGATCCGGCGCAGACCGACCCAGACCGCACACGCCCGCCGGCAGGGCGCCTCCTCGCGCGTGTGGGCCTTGGCCTCCTTCTCCACCAGGGCGGGCAGCCGGATCTTCTCCGTCACCGTGCGCGCCTGGCGCGCCGCCCCCCCGGAGGCCCCCGGGGGCACAGGGAGAACTAGGCACAGCTCCGAGGATTCCCCGGCAGTTTGCCGCACCCTTCCAGAGTTTCGACCTCCCAGGCCAATGCCCATGCTCTCCCACAGCTTCCTGGGAATCGGCGCTTATTGGCGCCTGCGCGCTTTCTCCCCCTCCTGACCCTCTCCCGCCGAAAGGTTGGGCGAGAGACGATGCGCCGCGTTGGCTGGGAGGGGGGGGCAGAGAAAGGCAGCACGGCATCGGTTCTGTATGCTCCGCACGACTTCCTCGTCCCCAACTGCTTCAACAAAAAACGTGTCACCGATCCCTCGGAGCCCACGGTGACGAGCCAGACCTTACCACGACGACGTGGGACCCGCCCAAGCGAAAGCACTGCGTGAGAAGAGGGCCGCCCCGCCAGCGCCACTCAGGGCTGGCAGTGTGGCAGGTGCCGAGGCAGGAGCCCTCTTCCCGGCTGGGAGCGTGTCGGCCGCCGAAGCGGGGGCTCCATTCCGAGCTGGGGCCGTGGCCGACGCTACAACATCCCGGCGTAGGCTTCGCAGCACGAAGCCCCAGACAGCAACCCAGTAAGGCTCGCGATGAAGTGGGCACGGCCCACAATGAGACCAAGACCGCCGACAGGCATGTATACGATCCCGCCTACAACACGAATGCCGGTGTGTGTGGGTGTTGGTGTGTGTGTGTGCGTGTGTGTGTGTGTGTCTGTGTCTGTGTCTGTGTCTTTGTTTGTGTCTGTGTCCGTGTCTGTGCCTGTGTCTGCGTCTGTGTCTGTGAGTGTGAGTGTGAGTGTGAATGCAAGTGTGAGTGTGAGTGTGAGTGTGAGTATGAATACGAGTGCGAGTGTGAGTGCGCATGTGGGTGTGAGTGTGAGTGTGTGTGTGTTCTTTTGTGAGCTCAACACTCCACAGCCAACACAGTCAAACAGCGGCGGCTGGAACCACTGCAGGCTGCACCCAAAGGGGCGCAGACAACTGGGCAGAGCGGAGACGGCGCCGACTCCACCACAAGCCTGAGCAAACAGCAACGCGATTCGCCACTGAATCGGACAGGCGAATGTCAGAAACCTGAGACATACAGCAGGCGCAATTAGCCACTGAATGAAACAGGTAAGACAAGTAAGATAGTCAGACCGAGTCGCCATCATCGCCTCGGCTGGGCATGGAGAAAGGGAGCCTAGAAACGTCCTCCCCAGGACGGGCTCCAGCGGAGACAGCAGGCTGCAAGGACGAGGCAGCGCTGTCCGAACGAAAGCTGGCAGGCTGAGCCACAGTCTGCCGATGGCCGAAAAGCTCGCAAACCAAACTCACGTCCACCGACACGCGGCGCCAGCGGGATTAGGGTACATCCCTTTGCACAGGAAGCGCCAAAACTTCTCAGCAGCCCTGGTGGGATGACCCTCACATCGCCTTCCCAGTCCATCGATGCACCTCATGCAATGGCTTTATGACCAAGCTAGCGCAAAACACCCTCATCAAGCTTCCTCTTCCCTGCGCAACGGCCTGGAGCGGGCACTTCCTGCTGCCGACAGTCAACCAAACAAACTCTGCACCGCCACAGACCTGACCAAACTTGCCAGTCGCGGTGACTGTCGAAGGTGCGTGTGCGGGTGCGTGCGCGGGTGCGTGTGCGGGTGCGGGTCCGGGTGCGGATGCTGGTGCGGGTGCGGGTGCGTGTGCGTGTGCGCAGGCGTAGGCGAGTGCAGGTGCGGGTGCTTGTGCGTGTGCGTGTGCGTGTGCGGGTGTGGGTGTGGGTGTGGGTGTGCGTGTGGGTGTGGGTGTGGGTGCGGGTGTGGGTATGGGTGTGTGTGTGTCGTTGTGCGTGCGTGCGTGCGTGCGTGCGTGCGTGCCTGTCTGTCTGTCTGTCTGTCTGTCTGTCTGTCTGTCTGTCTGCCTGCCTGCCTGCCTGCCTGCCTGTCTGTCTGTCTGTCTGTCTGTCTGTCTGTCTGTCTGTCTGTCTGTCTGTCTGTCTGTCTCTGTCTGTGCGTGCGTGCGTGCGTGCGTGCGTGCGTGCGTGCGTGCGTGCGTGCGTGCGTGCGTGTGTGTGTGTGTGTGTGCGTTCGTGTGTGCTTCGTGCGTGCGTGCGCGTGCGCGTGAGTGCGTGCGTACAGGCGTGAGTGCAGCACCTTCGTGCAGGTGTGAGTGCAGGCGTGCGTGTAGGCGGGCATAAGCGTGTGCGTGTGCGTTTGCGTGTGCGTGTACGTGTGCGTGTGCGCGTGCGCGTGCGTGTGCGCGTGCGTGTGCGCGTGCGCGTGCGCGTGCGCGTGCGCGTGCGCGTGCGCGAGCGCGTGCGCGTGCGTGTGCGTGTGCGTGTGCGTGTGCGGGTGCGTGCGCGTGTGGGTGTGTGGTTGTGGAAGGGTGGGTGTGTGGGTGTGTGGGTGTGTGGTTGTGTGGGTGTGTGGGTGTGTGGGTGTGTGAGTGTGAATGTGTACGTGCGTGGGTGTGTGGGTGTGTGGGTGTGTGGGTGTGTGTGGGTGTGTGGGTGCGTGCGTGTGTGGGTTTGTGGGTGTGGGGGTGCGTGGGGGTGTGGGTGTGTGTGGGTGTGAGTGTGTGGGTGTGTGGGTGTGTAAGTGTGTGGGTGTGTGGGTGTGGGTGCGTGGGTGTGTGGGTGTGTGGGTGTGTGGGTGTGTGGGTGTGAGTGGGTGTGTGCGTGTGTGGGTGTGTGGATGAGTGGTGTGTGTGGTGTGGGTGTGTGTGTGGTGTGTGGGGTGTGTGTGTGTGGTGTTGTGGGTGTGTGGGTGTGTGGGTGTGCGGGTGTGTGGGTGTGTGGGTGTGTGGGTGTGTGGGTGTGTGAGTGTGTGGGTGTGTGCGTGGGGGAGTGAAGGTGTGTGGGTGCGTGGGTGTGAGGGTGTGTGAGCGTGTGGGTATGTGGGTGTATGGGCGTGTGGGTGTGTGGGTGTGTGGGAGTGAAGGCGTGTGCGTGTGCGTGCGTGGGTGCTGTGGGTGTTGTGGGTGTTGTGGGTGCTGTGCGTCTTGTGAGTGGTGTGAGTTCTGTGGGTGTTGTGGGTATTGTGGGTGCTGTGGATGATGTGTGTTGTGTGCTGTGTGCTGTGTTGTGTGCTGTGCGCTGTGTGATGTGTGGTGTGTGGTGTGTGCTGTGTGTTGTGTGTTGTGTGTTGTGTGTTGTGTGGTGTGTGGTGTGGGTTGCGTGCTGTGCGTGCTGTGTGTTGTGTGTAGGGTGTTGTGTGATGTGTAGTGTGTGTTGCGTGTTGCGTGTTGCGTGCTGCGTGTTGCGTGGTGCGTGTTGCGTGTTGCGTGTTGGGTGATGCGTGCTGTGTTATGTGTGTTGCGTGGTGTGTGTGTGTTACGTGTTGCGTCTTGCGTGTTGCAAGTTGCGTGATGCGTGCTGCGTGCTACGGTGTGTGTGTGTGTTGCGTGTTGTGTGTTGTGGTTGCTGTGGGTTGTGTGCTGTGTGCTGTGTGCTGTCAGTTGCGTGCTGTGTGTTGCGTGGTGTGTGTTGTGTGTTGTGTGGTGTGTGCTGTGCGTTGTGTGTTGCGTGGTGCGTGGTGTGTGTTGTGTGTTGCGTGTTGCGGGTTGTGTGTTGTGTGCTTTGTGCTGTGTGTTGTGTGTTGTGAGTTGTGTGTAGGGTGTGTGGTACGTGTGTTGTGCGGTGCGTGTTGCGTGTTGCGTGCTGCGTGTTGCGCGGTGCGTGGTGCGTATTGCGTGTTGCGTCGTGCGTGTTGCGTGTTGCGTCGTGCGTGCTGTGCGGTGCGTGATGTGTGGTGTGTGCTGTGTATTGTGTGGTGTGTGCTGCGTGTTGTGTGCTGTGTGTTGAATGAACTGTATGTTGTATGTGCTGTGTGATGTGTGTGTTGTGTGGTGTGTGTTGTGTGGCGTGTGGTGTGTGCTGCGTGTTGTGTGTTGTGTGTTGTGTGGCGTGTGCGTGTGCGTGTTGCGTGTTGCGTGTGCGTGTGCGTGTGCGTGCGTTCGTGCGTGCGTGTGTGCCCATGGCTGTGCATGTGTGCGTGAGTGCGTGTGTGCGTGTGCGCGTGTGTTCATGTGTTCGTGAGTGCGTGAGTGCGTGAGTGCGTGTGTGCTGGAGTGCGTGTGTGCGTGTGTGCGTGTGTGCGTGTGTGCGTGTGTGCGTGTGTGCGTGTGTGCGTGCGTGCGTGTGTGCGTGTGTGCGTGCGTACGTGCGTGCGTACGTGCGTGCGTGTGTGCAGGCGTGCGGGCGTGCGGGCGTGTGTGCGTGTGTGCGTGTGCGTGTGTGCGTGTGTGCGTGTGTGCGTGTGTGCGTGTGTGCGTGTGTGCGTGTGTGCGTGTGTGCTTGTGTGCGTGTGTGCGTGTTTGCGTGTGTGCGTGTGTGCGTGTGTGCGTGCGTCGGTGTGTCTGTGTGAGTGTGTCTGTGTGTCTGTGTGTGTGTCTGTGTGTCTCTGCGTCTGTGGAGGAGGGGGTGGGGGGGGGTTGTGTATGTGGGTGTGGGTGTGCCTGTGCGTGTGCGTGTGCGTGTGCGTGTGCGGTTGCGTGTTTGTGTGCGTGTGCGTGTGCGTGCGTGTGTGCGTATGCGTGTGTGTGTATCTGCGTATGCGTGTGCGTATGCGTATGCGTGTGTGTATGCGTGTGTCGTACGTGATCTTCGGAATCGCTGTTCAAAGTGTGCAGAGCCACGGCGGATTAACAACAATGATACCACCTTGATTCTACTTCGGTTGCATGACACGAAGCACTGAACGAATGCACCGCTTCCCGCCCAAAAGACAAAGAAGCACTGACGGATGGGCAGGATCAATCAACATCGAATCGAGAAATTTGGCCGGATCGAAATGCGAGCCAGATCGGTCCGCATCGGCACGGAGTCGAAATTGAATCGGATCGGCGGCGCCAAGATGCACAACAGCGTCTTGCAAACATCGGGCCGCGTCGGATCGTCGGAATATCGGAATAGAGTCTGATCGGGTCGGCCGACATCGACATCGAATCGGATCGATCGGACAGAAATGGACTCTGGTTCCCCCGTCGATCCGCACTGTCGGGGGCAC